GCTGGTGGAGGGGCCGCCGGCGCCGCCGGTGAAGGGGTCGCAGAAGCCGCCAGTGATGGGCGTGTCGGCGGCAGGGCGGGCGCCGCCGGGGCCGCCGGTGTTCTGGATGACGAACGCTACGATCTGCAAGTATGTAGTTGGTTTGGTAACAAAGCTGTGAAGAAGAAGCAGGCTGCTGTCATGGATGATGTCAGAGGCAGCGAGGGGGGCCTGGATAACCATCAGGCTACCCAGCTGGCCTGCACGCGTTGCCGCTGCAGATGACATCAGCGCTGGGGGGGTGGCTGTCGTTAGCGGCAGAGGCGGGGCCCGCACGCACGCAGGTGCGTGGATGTGCGCGTGCTGTCGTGCACGAACTAGACAGATGTGCAGGGGTGTGCAAGAGTGTGAGCGCGCCCCACCTGCTCTCTGAACTCTGCAGGCAGATCATATTCCGCCAAGAACCTGCCAACAGGGTATGTCGTCCAAGACACGCGTCAGTGTGGATCGAGGGCGCACATGCGCAACACGCGCGTGTGTCGCCGATGCCAAGGTGATGAGCGCGTGCGTGTGCTTGCATGCACGTGTGCATTTTCACGCATGTGTAAATGTGCTCATGCGCACGCGCATGTGCCCACAACTACAAGCACACACCATGCAAATTCAAACCAGCCGGTTTCCCAGCAGCCTCCTTCCCAGCAGCAAAACCACCACCTCCTCATCTTTCAAAACACAACAGCAAAAAGAGCCTTATCCCTCTGCAGAATGTGCGCGCACACCTGTCTGCCACGATGTAGGGGTTCTCGTGGGCGTCCATAGCCAGCTTGAGCTTCGCCCCAGAGTCCAGCTCCACGTCAAACACGTGGTCCCAGCTGCGCCCCAGGTGCGATTTGGCGCCGCCGCTGATCGTGCCTGCGGGCGGCCGCCCGCATAAGCATTCGGCGCGCAGGGTTGGGGGCGCGGGCGGGAATGGGTATGCAGGCGCCCGGCATGGCGCGGGCGCTGACCTGGTTGTGGAAGCCCTTGCCACCGGCAAGCGTGAATGCTGATGCTTCTTTCGCTGCACAGGCGGCCCTGAGGTCCCTACACCCGCCAAGGGCGGGCCAGTCGTGAGGCCCCGTCACCAGGGCGCCTGCCCATCCTGCACACGCATTAATTGCTGTGATGCTATGCGCGCGCCCGCTGCGCGGCCGGACCCCTGCAAACAGCCAGTGCACTCCCGCAAGTGCAGCCCGCCCCACACCCAGATCTCCGATCCCAGGTCTCAGAAACCTCGGAACCATGATCTTCAAGCACTGCGGCTCACCGGCCTCCGGCGCGGCGACGACCTCCCCGATGCGCTCCCACTGCCGCTTCGTCGCGTCCCATCCGTACGCCCAGACGGCGCCGTCCGGCTCCCGCACGACGCGGGTCTCCCCGTCCTTTGCGCCGGGGTTGGTCAGCACGAGGGCGTCGTCAACCTGGCGGGCGTTTTGGGTGATGGCCGGGGCGGGTGCAGGGTACTTGGTAATGGTCGGTGCGAACGATGTATGGGTGGTGGCCGGTGGTGGTGGTGGTGTTTGGGTGGTGGTTGTGCTGGTGCAATGTGCAAAGGGCGAGACAACATGGGCCAGCAATGTTTGCGATGTGTTATCAGGCTTGCTGCGAGGGAATAGAAACAGGAGAGAAAGCGGAGCGACAGGCGGTGGGGTGCACAGCGCAAGTGGAATGCTGTCTTACACGCAGCATGCACCACGCAGGGCTGCGTGCGCCCCGACAGTTGTGCCTCAGCGGCCCTCAATGCCAGCTCACCTTGAGCCCGGGCGGAAGAGCAGCGGCCGCCGCGGCCGCCGCGGCGTCGCCCCCACCCGCGCCCTCTGCAGGCGCCTCGGCGGCCGCTTTGGCGGCTTTGATCTCCTCCAGCCGCTTGGCCAGCGAAGCCGCGGCCTCGACGTCCTGCGAATGCATGCGAAATGGCACCAAGGGGTCGGGCTTGAGCCTGCCGCCCGGGGGTGGTCATGGACTTCACAGCCGGCGTCAACCGATCGGCAAAAGTCGGGCGAGGGAACAAATCCACTCCTTCGAACATGATCACGACAGCTGCACAGCGTGGGCGAAGGCACCCGGCCTGCCGGCCCGCTGCAGCTGCTCTCCTGCCGCTTTGATCTGCCAGAGCTCCTGGCCCCGCGCCCCCACCTGCTTGGCCTCGGCCGCGGTGAACACGCGCGCCACCGCGTCCGCGCAGCCGGTGACGAGGTCGCCGTCTGGCAGGAACTCGGCGGCCCAGACGCAGCCCGGGTGCTCCAGCAGCAGCTTGGCCTCGCCGGACGCACTCCACAGGCGGAGCGTGTTGTCCTCAGAGCCTGGGCCGCGGCGGTTAAGGGTTCAGGGTTGAGGGGCGGCATTTCGCAGCAGTTCGTGGTGGTTTGCGGCGGTTTGTGGCAGTTTGCGGCGGTTGGTCCCATTTTTCAGGTCGCTGGATTTTGCTTTGAGATGGGCCGACACACGAGGAGCGTGATGATGGCTCCGGACAAAAGCAGCACTCATGCGCCGCAGCTGCGAGGCTGATCGGAGGACGGCGTGGACGACTCACCCCCTCCTCCCCCCCCCCTCAGCAGCGGCGTCGGGGTGCTGCGGCTGCAAGGGCCCCATCGATGCAATTGCAGGAAGCAACCCACCGGATGCGATGAGGCCGCCCGGGGTGGCCGCCACGGTGTAGATGAGCGCCGTGTGGCCATAGGCTTCTGCGAGCGTCTCCCCGCTGAGCGCCCAGACCCGCACAGACATGTCGTGGGACCCCGACACAAAGCCCACGCCGGGCAGGATGCAGAGCGCCCTGTCGTCATGCAGAAACAAACGAGGTGATGCCGAATCGCGGGGCTGTCGGCCTGACGTTGGCATCGAAAGCGGCAGAGGAAGGAGCTGCTGCAACCGGCTGGGCACAAACGCAGAATTTTTTACCGCCCCCCCCCCACACTCATTGTTCGTTGCTGGTATGCGCAAGCTCAGTAACCGCCGCCCCTTCGCACCTGACTGTGTCAGTGTGACCGGTGTACGTCTGCACGCATTTGCCGCCGGCCCAGCGCTTGATAGTGGTGTCGCCGGAGCCCGACAGGATTTCGCCCTCCGGCGTCACCGCCAGCGACAGCACCGGCTTGCTGTGGCCCTCCAGGGTGCCGATGCACTCAGTGCCGCGCCACACCCTGATCGTGCTGCGTGTTTTGAAAGTATGGTGTGCGTAGGTTCGGGTTTGCGTGATGCCAATGTGTGTTTGCGTTGGTGCGCATACGCGTGTCAAGTGGAAAGGAGGGGGACGTACACAGGGATTCGCCAGGATTGCTATGACGTATGGCTGGGTCCACAATACATCATGCGCGTCGCATCAGGATTGATGCCACACACGCCTGCAGGTCGTGGACGCCAGCCCGCTGCTGTGGCTCTTCCGTGCATGCCAGCTGGCCAGCTGACAAACCCCCTCTGCAGGACGCCGGCATCGAGCGCGCCCAGGCGCCCATCTTTCCCCATCACCCACTTGTCAACAGATGCGGACACCACGTCACCCCCGGGCAGGATGCCCAGCGCGGTGACCTGATGTAGTGAGGGGGCGGCGCGGGCAGCGCGGGAGGGGGGGAAGCGATGCAACACGTTAGTGAGTGGGTGCGTTCACAGCAGTCATGCACGACCCCACAACCCCCTGCTGCGTGAGTGCGAGACAAACGTTGCTGCTGCTGCTGCTGCTGCTGCCGATGCGGCTGCTGCTGCTGCTGCTGCTTCTGCTGCTGCTGCGGCCGCTGCTGCTGCTGCTGCTGCTGCTGCTGCTGCTGCTGCTGCTGCTGCCACTGCTGCCTCTGCTGCTGCCTCTACCGCTGCCGCGGACGCCACAGCTCCAGAAGGCTGTCGCTAGCTGCTGCTTATGCTGCGGCCGCTGCTGCTGTTGCTGTTGCCCCAGCATGATGCTGTGTTGGTAAGGCCGCACCTGGTACTGGTGTCCCCGCAGCACCGCGATCTCCTGAGAGGAGACAGGGTCCCACAGCCGCACAGTGGCGTCAAACGAGCCTGGAAGTGTGCAATGGGTGCTGTGTTGGTGCACCTGCTCGGGCACAGGCCGTGTGCGCTTGGAGAAATAGACGAGCGAACCACAGTGGAGGGCCTGCACACAACTGATGACAGGGGGGACCCCAGCATCAGCGGGCCCTCTTGGCAGCTTTAAGCGGGTCTGGCTGCAAGATGCTGGATGTGACATTCAGTCCCTCAAACACACACACGCACAAAAACAAAAACCGTGTACGCACACACATAAACACTCAGCAAGAGACACTCACACAAACCTACCTGACACGATCGCGCCATTGGGCAGGTCCTCCCGCACGCCAGGCTTGATGAACGCCAGGGGCCCTACATAGCCCGTGTGCCCCACCTGCGAACATCACACGGATGCATGCGCGCTGTTGCCTTGCTGACTGTTTACGTCACACCCACTGCATTGCAGGTATCGCCCCGCCGGCGGCAGCACATGCGGCAGGAGTCGCCACGCACCAGCGTGTGCACAACGGTAAAGCAGTTGCCGTCCTCAGCCCATAGCTTGATCGTCTTGTCACGGGAGCTCGTCAGGAGTCCCAGGTTGCAGATGCCCAATCCACGGACCTGCGCGCAGCCAGGGCCAAGTCCAAGCATGCCCTCTCCTAAGCCGTGCAAGGACGCGGCGCCAGGCGCAGCCAGTACGCGTGCGCAAAGAATGCGCCTTGCAAGAGGAGGATCGCTCACATCCTCTTGGTGGCCGTGTAGTTCACAGCGGAGCTTGTAGTCGCTCCCTTCTGCGGCCGTGCCCATGGCTTATCACGATCCCAGATCCGCGAAACTCTAGCTGCTTGCCGTCGATCAGGAACGAGTCCCACATATAATTGGCCCGTATCTGCGCAAGAGGACGCTTTGGTATTGCGCACGCACGAACTGCGCACGAGCTGCGAGGGAAGCTGGGGAGCAGCTGCATGCACTAACCCCGCCAATTTTGCTGCGGCGCGTCAGGGCCTCAGGGCTGCTCGCGATGTCAAGACGTCATCACGAAGCGTATGATGAAGATCCGTTGTGCAGTCCTTTTCTGAGCTCTGTCCGTGCAAGGAGTGATCTGTTGCCGCCCTGCAGGACCCTACTGCAGCCTTCCGCCACCGATTTGGATCCATCGTAGCTAAAGGATTATAGTTTTGATGGCGGCCGCCGATGCGCAGGCCGTCCTGGCCGATCCGAACGCCTTTGAAGCGCTCGTGGCCTCGCTCCTGCAGGCCGACAACACGGCCCGCAAGCATGCCGAGGCCGTGTTCGAGGAGGTTAAGAAGCACGCTGACGGATGTGTGTCACACCTTATGCGGTGCCTTCGCCAGTCGCCCAACGAGGAGCACAGGGCTTTCAGCGCGATTATGCTGCGGAAGGTTTTGACGCGTGATGAGCCGACGATGTACGCGGCGAGCAGCCCGCAGGTCCAGGTGTGCGCATGAACGCGGTTGCGCCCAGGTCGGCCGCCGGCAGCCGCCGCCGCCACATGCCCGCCATCGAGTTTATCACGGCGCGGCGCCGATCCCAATGCTGTTGCGATCGCTGGGTCGTGCACGTTGCTGCCAGCATGCCTGCCTTGTACGATCATTGGATCGCCGTCAGCAGTGCAGCCCCTCAGCGCTCCGAACTCTGTGTGCCGTGCGCATTTCAAAACCCCCCCTGGGCTCGAAACCGACGCCCCTCAAACCCCCCAGGCCAGCGTCAAGCAGGAGCTCCTGGCGGCGCTCGCCGCGGAGCCCAACGCCAGCGTGCGCAAGAAGGTCGGCGACACGGTCAGCGAGCTGGCGTCGGACCTGCTGGCCAAGGAGCAGTGGCCCGAGGTGCTGCCGTCCCTGGTTGAGCGCATCCAGTCGGGACAGCCCCAGGTGGGCGGCACGGCTCGCGGCATGCCCCCGGGTTGAGACCGCAGCACATGCGGCGGGGATTAGACCGCAGCACATGCAATCCGGGCTCCGCAATGCAGCGGCGGGGCAGCGCCCGCTTTTACATCAGCCAGGTTGGGTTGGTGGTGCGCCCGCGGTTGCGTTGTGGCACCAATGAGTAAAGGCGCATCAATTCAAGCACGCAGCCGCCACGGCCGGCGCCGCCAGCAGCAGCCGCTCCTCCCAGGCCGCCGGGCGCCCCCGGCCCGGGGCCGGCGAGCGCGCCCCGTCGCGGTTGCCCAGGCCGTCTGTCTCCCGTCACCCCACGCTGCCAGGCGATGGAGGCGTCGCTGGCGATCCTGGCCACCCTTGCGTCCTACTCCACGGACAGCCTGCGGCCCCACCTGGCGCAGCTGCACCCCATCCTGGGCGCCTGCCTCGGGCACGCCTCGCTGGAGGTCCAGGTGCGGCGGGGGGCCGCGGCCAGGAGGTGTGCACACAACCTCGTGACATGCACCGCTATGCATGGAATCACAGAGGCAGGGTGGGGACGCCCTGGCCCCTAGAGAAGTTTTCAAAGGCACCCCCTTCTGTCCCGGGTCACGAGCCGGAAGCCCTTTACAGGCAGCCCATGGTCAGCAGCTGGTGGTGATGGAAGGTCCGGCTGCACACACCGCCCCGGGCACCCCGTGACCCCCAGGTGGCGTCCCTTATGTGCGTGGCGGGCTTTATCCAGCAGCTGGAGGAGCCCAAGGAGCGCGACGCGTTCCAGCCCATGGTGTCGCCCATGCTGGCCACCCTCGGCCGCTGCCTCACGGTGCGCCCACGCAGGCCCGTCCACGCCCTAGCCGACCGCGTGCGCGCCCGCCTTGCCTCAAACCCCCTGCCCCATGCGTGGGGCACCCGTGAAAAACGCAGCGGCGGCTCGTGATTGTCTTTCAGCGTCGTCGTTTTCATTTCCTGACGGCACGCTTTTGCCCTGGGCTGCTGCTCGGGCGCTGCGGCGTTTGCTGCCACCCGCGCAGTCCAATGACGAGCAGGCGGCGCAGGAGGTGCTTGAGCAGCTGATCGAGGTGGCGGAGCAGCACCCCAAATTCCTGAAGAAGCAGCTGACGGAGGTGCGGGGCTGTGAGCGATGGCGGCAGCTGCTTTGCAGCGGTGGTGGCGGCCTCGGCCGGGCGGGGGAGAGGACGAAAGCACGGGGTGGTTGGCAGCGCATCCGCAGCTCGCTGCGCCTGCGGCAGCGGCGCGAGCGGGCGGGCTAAAAGAGGCGCCGACGGCCGCACGGAAGGGCGGTCGTAGCGTGCTGCAAGCCGAATCTCTCGTCTGTATTCAATCCAGTGTCTTGCGCCCCCTCTGGACGGCCGCAGGTGATCGCCGCGATGCTCCAGATCGCCAACGCGCCGCAGCTGGACGACCCCACGCGCACGCTGGCGGTGGAGTTCATGGTCACGCTGTGTGAGGCGCGGGACAGGGCCCCAGGCATGGTGAGCCCGCCGCATCGCAACCTTTGTCCCTTTTTGGCCGTCGTCGTACCCTGCCCGTGGATATAGTCGCTGGCGTCGCAGGCGAGCCCTGGGGCAGGCAGGCGTCGAATCGCCGGATCTCTGCCTTTTTTCCAACGCACACGGGCTTGGAGCGTTGGATGCAGCCATTGGCGGCTGGGCTGTCCCCACACCCGCCACCACCTGCTGCCGTGGCGACGTCGCCCCCACCAGATGCGCAAGCTGCCGGACTTTGTCCCGACGCTGTTTGGGGCGCTCATGGGGTTCTTGCTGGATGTTGAGGACGAGCCCCTGTGGCACCAGGCGGACAGCGACGCGCACGAGGAGGTGGGCGACCCCAGGGGGCGCCATCCACCCCAGTCGGGCGCGCAAGGCGGGGGGGCGGCATATGTCTCGGGCGTGTCCCCGTTCGCAGATTTAACAGACCGTGTTGGCGGGCTAGGCGGGTGGCTAGGGGTTTGCATGCGCGGTGGCATCTCGAATTACGCTGGCGTCGGGCGGCCGCGCGGCACGGCGCACGCCCAACACAGCACAAATCGTGACCGCTGCCTTTTGCATGGGCCCCTGTGCCTTCCCAGGAGGGCTGCGGCGAGCTGTTTGACAGTGGCCAGGAGTTCCTGGACCGCGTGGCGATCAGCCTGGGCGGCAAGGCGCTCGTGCCGGCCGCGGGCGCGCTGCTGCCGGCGTGGCTGCAGGACGCGGGCGACTGGAAGAAGCGCCACGCCGCGCTCATCTGCCTGGCGCAGGTGCGGCTGCCCAGCTTCTGCTGCAAATCCGTGCAGGCGGCTGTGCATGGTCATTGTGGTGGTTTCGACATCCATCGCTAGGGCTTCAAGCTGTGGGAGGGGCTCAGCGCAGGCTGGCCCAGTCGAAGGACTGCCTAGCACCCCTCGGCCGTGCTGATGTCATCCGTGTGTCACCCGCGCGTCACTGGCGCGTCACCCGTGCCCCCACACCCCCAGATCGCGGAGGGCTGCGCCAAGGTGATGCTGGAGCAGCTGCAGCCGCTGGTGGCCATGTGCCTCACCGGGCTCGGCGACGCGCACCCCAGGGTGAGCCTGCGGCTTGCGCCCCTAAGCATAAGCTTGATGCTCGTTCGACCCACAGCCTAGACTGGCACTTTCACTTGCCGCGGGCTGCCTCCCGATCTGGCGTGCCCGCACAAACGGTGTTTGGAGGGGCTGGCTAGCTTTTTTGTGGCACGCGGTCCCGCCACACGCGCCTCACGCGCCGCAAGGTGCCCGTCCAGAGCTGCTTTGGATTGGAACCTCCGCTGCACGCCTCCAGACTAGCCCATTTGTCCATTTCCTAGGCTTGCGAACACACACTCGCACACACGCTCACGCACACGCACATGCACACACGTACACACACACACACACACACACGCACGCGCACGCGCACGCACACACGCGTGCACACACACACCACACACCTTCCCTCTCCCCCCAGGTGCGGTGGTCTGCCTGCCAGGCTCTGGGCCAGATGTGCACCGACCTGACGCCCGACATCCAGGAGAACCACGGCGCACAGATACTGCCCGCCCTCATGGCCGGCATGGACGACTTCAACAACCCAAGGTCTGAGGGGACGCCCGCGGCCGCACCGATGGACGCGTGGGCGCGGGGCCCGGTCCCCCCCTGCTCTATGCGGCGGCGCCCGAGTGCTGCGTGCCGCGGTGTGTCTGGGACGCTGGTTGGTCAGTGACCATGCGGGGTTGGTGTCTGCCCAGGGTCGCCGGCCGACGGAATGGCGTGCGGACCTCGATGCGTGCGCTCGCCAGCGCCCAGCCGCTGCCGGGCGCAGAGTGGTCGGTGATCCTGCAGGGTTGGTGTTTGCCCAGGGTCGCCGGTCGACGAAACGTTGTGCAGACCTCGATGCGTGCGCTCGCGTGCGCCCAGCCGCTGCCGGGCGCCGAAGCAAGGCGGAGGGTTTCCTCCTCCCTGCACCTGCCTGAGCGAAGCACGCAACGCGTTTCCGCCCTTCTTTCTGCCGCAGGGTGCAGGCGCACGCGGCGGCGGCGGTGGTGAACTTCAGCGAGGGGGCGGAGGCGGACCTGATGGCGCCCCACCTGGACACGCTCATCACCAAGCTGCTCACCCTGCTGCAGCGCGGCAAGAAGCTGGTGCAGGTGGGTTTTGGGAAGCAGCGTCTGCCTCCAGTGTGCGCGTGTGTGGATGTGCGTTCGTGGGTTCGTGCGTTTGAGTGTGTTTGTGGGTATGTGCACGCGTGCGATGCATCACTGTGCGTGGGTGCGTGCATCTGCGAGGTTTGGGTCGTATGCAGTATGCAAAAAGTGTGTTTATCTTGCAGCCAGCTGCTGTGCCTGCCCCTGCCGGCTCGACCACACCTCATCCCACCCAACTGCCCCCTTGCTGCACCCTGGCCGCGCGCAGGAGGGCGCCCTGACGGCGATCGCGTCGGTGGCTGACAGCAGCGCGGACATGTTTGTGAAGTACTACGACGCGGTGATGCCGCTGCTGTCCTCCATACTGGTCAACGCGCAGGACAAGCAGGTTGGTTGTGTTTTTTTTGGTGCAGGGGAGGGAAGGCCGCAGATTGGGGTAGTGAGGGCGAGCACTTGAGTTGTATCATGAGGGTGGTTTGCCAGGCAACGGGACGGGGGGCCCAGGTTGGGTGGACCAGCAGGTTCGCTGGTTGTGGTGGTGGAGGGGTGGAGAGCGGCTGTTTGTGTAGGGACTCAGGCGCGTTCTTTGGATGGCCAATGGGTGATCCTTGCTGTGTACTGTACTGTTGAGCTCATCTAGTGTTTGATTCAAGTGGTGCCAGAGTCTATGTTCGATGAGCTTGTATCTGATGTCTTGAAGAGCAGAGCTTGTCGCACAATAAGGCTGGTGCGAGTGACCTCTTGCACGCGGGGTCTTGTGGCGCGCCCAGTGACGAGAAGTATGCAAACCGATGCCTCTTGGGGCGATGGGCCCATTCTTTTCCGCTTAATGCCTGAGGGCGCGGCCATCTCGACCCCGCACCTGACTGCACGTGTCTCAACCTTACAACTCCCACTGCAAAATTTTCATCAGTGCAGCCGGGTGGCCTTGCCGTCAACCCCCACAACCCCATTTCTTGGAACAATCACACACATCTCTGCGACGCGCGTGGGGCTGGGGTTTGGAGGCTGCAAAATCAGGAGACCTGGTTTGCTTGGGCCGTCTATCCTTGCAAGCAGTGCCGCCGCTGCATGTTCTTGCGTTGCACCTTTTTGCGCGTGTGGTTTTTCGTGCAAATGTGTGGTGTTTGATGGATTGAAGCTACTGGAACGCATGACCTGTGCCAAGCTCGCTGACACGCCCGTCATGCGGAGTGGACCCCGCGCAGTCGCGGTCACACTGCGCGTGAACGCGTCTTGCTGGCGTGCAGCGCGCAACCAAGGGGGTTGCCGGGCAGCACGCCCAGTGACGAGAAGTATGCTAACCGACACCCTTTGGGGCGGTGGGGCCATTCTTTTCCGCTTAATGCCTGAGGGCTCCTCGCCCCTGGCAACCCCCTGGCGCCGTAATCTCCGCATCCGCTCGCGCCCCGCCAAATTCTGGCGACCCAGCACAACCCACTCAGTCTTCTGGCGCCCGCCCTTGCACCGCACGGTCAGCCCTCCCCCCGACCTTTGCACCTAGGTGGAGCTGTCTTGCATTATAGCAAATCCACACGACCTTGGAGCTGACGTTCGCGGCCTGATACTCAAAGTGGACCCAGGAATCATGTCTCTTATTGTTGGAGCTTGTGGGGCACGGACCAGGGTGCAGCGGGCGGCATTCCCGTGCTGCCCAATGCAGCAGGCGCTGCTTTGGCTCGTTTTCGCGCCGACGCCTCCACGCCCCCACCTGTCGCATGTCGTCGAGCAAGCGCCTTTTCGCCGTGCTGCGCCCGTGTCAGCGCGTCCGCTGCGACGTGCGCCCCAAGCTCCCTCATCGCAACTCAGGCTGAGCTTGGCGCATGCACGCCGCCACACCCACACACGCACGCACATATGCGTGCGTGCGCGCGCGCGTGCACACACACACACACACACACACACACAGAGTGCAAGCTCAGGGGGTTGCCGGGGGGCGCGCCCGGTGACGAGACCTATGCTAACCGACGCCCTCTGGGGCGGTGGGGCCATTCTTTTCCGCTTAATGCCTGAGGGCTGCTCGCCCCTGGCAACCCCCTGGCACCGCCTTGCATACACCAGCCCAAACTTCACTTCATTCTCCCAGCAACTTTCACCTGCATCAGTATGAGCCCCCACACCACACACACACACACACACACACACACACACACACACAACCCCCACCATCTCACGGAGCTCGTCATCATCAACCGCACCTTCCCTCCCCTCACCTCACCCTCCCCCCCTGTAGCACCGCCTGCTGCGCGCCAAGGCCCTGGAGTGCATCAGCCTCGTCGGCATGGCCGTCGGCCGCGACCGCTTCCGCGGCGACGCGGCGCACGTCATGGGCTTCCTGCAGCAGCTGCAGGGCGCTGAGCTGGACCCCGACGACCCGACCTCCTCTTACATGCTGCAGGCGCGCGGGGGCGGGGGGCGGCATGCAGCCTGGGGCCCGCAGGAGCATGCTCGGGGGGTTTCCAGAGAGGGGCGCAAAGATGGCAGCTTCTATGCAGCTTCCGCCTTGGCCCACCAGCCGGACGCGCCCGCCGGTGGCTTGCAGTGATCTAGCGTCGGCCGTGCCCGGGGCGCGACGCCGCTTGGACAGGGTTGAACAAAATTCACACCAAAAAAAACCCTTGCAGGCTGGCGCGCGGCTGTGCAAGGCGTTGGGGCCGGAGTTTTTGCCTTACCTGGGTGTGGTGATGCCGCCGCTGCTCAAGACGGCGGCGCTGGAGCCCGATGTCAAGGTGCGGGGGTGTGTGAGGGTGGGGTGTGGGTGTGATGTGTGTGCGTGCGTGTGTGGGTGTGTGTGTTTGTGTCAAAGAGTGTGTGTGTGTGGGTCTGGGTGTGTGTGAGTGTATGTTTTTTGGGGGGGATGGGTTTTGCTCGCAAGCGTCTGGACTGGGAGGCCGCAGAAACGGCGGCTGCGCCGGGCGCCCACATCATGGACAGACAGCCCTCTTCCAGCCGGTCATGGGGCTGTCGTGCAGGGAGGTGCAGTACAAACCCAAGCCTCCGCCCCTGCGCCGCCCCGGCGCCCCGCCGGCCCGCGCCCAACCTCGTGCCGCGCGCCAACCTCGTGCCTCCAGATCACTGACGCGGAGGACGTGGACGACGATGACGAGGACGACGACATCGAGTACATCAACCTCGGAGACAAGCTGGTGGGCCGGCTGCGACATCCATCATGTTCTCTCGCCATCCCCTCCTGCCCACCCCCTCTCCCCCTCTTTTCTGGGCGCTGGATTGCTTACAGCCCTTTGTGCACACCATCCCGCTCCGGCCCCCCTCAACCCGCTCATTCCCCGGCCC